GATTTTTATGGAGTTGGGCCATTTGAGATGGGTTTGAGAAATGGGCTAGATTTATAGCTTAAAGGATTTCATCCCCCAACTTTTGATTTCTTCAAGTGAGTCCTTCTTTTCTTCTTTTCTTTTCCATCCTCTTCACGAACTCCCTTTTTGACCCATAAACCTAACAATAAGAGCAAAGACAAATCAAATTAGTTAAAATATAAAACTAAAACTAGAATAAAAATAAATTTCTATTAAAATTTTGAGTTATGACAGTTGCCCCTCTTTTTTTTTCTTTCTGTTAAGAGTGAAAAGAAAAGATAAAAATAACTCAAACATTTTTTTTTAAACTTTTTTTTAACCGAGTGAAAAATGGTTTTTGAATCAAGTAAGAAACGATTTTTTTTTTAATCGAGCAAAAAATGGTTTTTGAACAAAGTAAGAAACGGTTTTTTTTTTTTTTAATCGAGGGGGAAATGGTTTTTGAACCAAGTAAGAAATGGTTTTTTAACCAGGGGAAAAATGGTTTTTGAACCAATTAAGACGGTTTTTTAACCGAGTAGAAATGGTTTTTGAACCAAGCAAGAAATGGTTTTTTAACCAAGTAAGAAACAGTTTTTTAACCGAGTAAAAATGGTTTTGAACCAAGCAAGGAAGGTTTTTTAACGGAGGGGGAAATGGTTTTTGAATCAAGTAAGAAACGGTTTTTTAACCGAGTAGAAATGGTTTTTGAACCAAGCAAGAAACAGTTTTTTAACCAAGTGGAAAATGGTTTTTAAACCAAGTAAGAAATGGTTTTTTAACCAAGTGAGAAAAGGTTTTTTAACCCAGCAAGAAATGGTATTTTAATCGAGTAAATTGAGTTGCAACGGTCAAACGACCATGCAAGTTTGTGTTTGTGCCTGTGCTTGTACTGGTTTTTCAAGCAAGAAACAGTTTTTTAACCGAGTAAATTGAGTTGCAATGGTAAAACGACCATGCAAGTTTGTGCTTGTGCTTGTAACGGTTGAATGACCGAGCCAATGGAGCTGCCATGGTCGAAGGACCGAGCAAATTGCGTAGCAATAGAGCTGAATGAGGGTGAATATGGCTAAGGGTCGAATGAAGGTGATGTTTGAAAGATCTGTAATAATGAAACAGATGCAAGTGAGACAACTTTCACATGAAAGGTAATGTAAAATGAAAAGAGGATAAGAAACTTCCCTGAACATATGGTGGATGTCCTTACTCGGCAATAGTCAAGTGTCCTCAGTGTTGTGCATTCATTGATAGGCTTGATGACATGTTTTGGATAAAGTTCAGTGACTTGAGAGCATCTCTAGTTCATTGGGGAAAATTCTCGAATCATTGCAAAAGAGGATAAGCACCATGACCATTGAATCAAGCTTGTGCTTTTCTCTGCAACTTTCATTCATTTTTTTTTTTTTTTTGATTTGTCAATAGATTTCAACAATTATATTAACTGAAATAAAGCATCATAACCAATCAACATCCCAATCTAAACAAGGAAAAGAAGGCTAGGGTATGGATAATATGAATGGATAAAAAGAGAAGAGTAGAATGTGGATAATATGGATAGACAATGTGATGAAATTTCAACAATGATGTGATTTTGAGATAAACAAGATTTTTTTTTTTTTTTTTTGAAGTGCATAACTTTTGATGCAACAATTTTGACAAGGTTAGAAGACATCCAAGCTATAAAGCATTTGCTTCAAGA